GATAATTTTTAATTCTTGACAAAACACTGAATGATCGCTCAGCGCTAGCAACTGAGACTGGCAGCGTGCAGAATATTCGCAGAGCAATTTTTAGCAGTTATTGCATTCAACAAATCGAATGGAGTCATACAACTTGAAGACTTTTCCAGGAAATTAACTTTGTAGACGTTTTTCAAGTGGATCAATTCTGATGATATTTCGTTGGACACATCAACCGAATATTTCTCAGCAAATTGAAGCGCTGCAGTCTGAACGTCCTCAATCTCCACGTTCGGGAATAGCCACAGGAACGAAAATTTGTTAGTAATGTCTCTGATTGCCGAAAACCTGTATCTTATTCCTGCGATGATCGAATCCATGGTGACTAAGAAAGTATTTCTTTTGAAGTCGATTTCTTCAGCAGAAGAATTTTCTTCAGAGGCTGCAGGCACGACTTCGTTACGTTTTTTCTTGCGTCCCATGAAATTCACTTATGATATGATGCTACATGTACATATATTATGCACACAACTTTTTTTTTCTTTCGAATTGATTTTTCAGTATGAGCGTCAGGCCGGGCACCCTTGAAAAGTGCGGGCCCGGTGGGAAAAATACCCGGCCTGCGTTTGTTGTTAAGTGTAAAATAAATTTACGACGATTTTTCTGACTTGTTTTTAATACACCCATGTTGGGAATTTGTCCCAAGACATGTTGAGAAGTCGATATTAACGTTAATATTCTATTGAAAATTTAAGGCATTTATGTGTTTTTTATGCCTTACTCAATGTTATTTTCTGACAAATAGATCATCTCCTCCTTAGAAAAAAACGAATAAATAACATTACGTGTTATGATATTTCGGTGATACTCCAATCTTTTATGCACTTGTAAAACATCACTTTTCAAAAATCACGAAATCCAATATGGTGGCCATAAGAAAAATGAAAGTTGAGGCGGGTTGCTGGAAAACAAAAGACGATTGAGGCATGTCATACATGCTATCTTATTTGTCTTAAAAAAATGTCCGAATAATGTCACATTTTGACAGCTGTCAAATTAACCGTTTTAGATTTACTGGCAAAAAACAAATTCCGCCATTTTCGGTTTTTCGCTGATATTTGGAAGACCAAACTACCGATCGCGAATCAGAAGCCGGCTATCGGAAGCACTAAGTTTCCTCTAAAACTTTCTCCATTTAACCTTTGCAGTATGTATAATAGGAGCCGAGATCCCTCTATAGAGAATCTGGAACACTCTGTATAGGGTTTCCCAAAAGTACGAACACACTGAAATATCTTGGAAACTGAGGGTGCTAGAAGCAAACCTCAATTACAAAAGTCTTAGGAAATCAAATGTCGCAACTAGTGGTGGCTTTGGATTTGATGTTGCCATTGAAGGTCATTTCATGGATAGTTTGCTTTTTCAAATAAAAACCCCCATTTTTATTACAGAAATAGAAAGCCAAAAAATTTTCCTTTTCATCGGTATCAATATCATAAGGGCTGAAATTACGTCTAGAGGTTATTTCAAGATCAATTGTTGCTCTTTCATGGAATGTTGTAAAACCGCAGATAGCTCAAAAGGGAGATAATATTAAAGAAGAACGTGAAATGCTGAAGTTGCAGGAAACCCTATGGCACATCTGATGGTCATAGTCATTCTGACCTTGGCTATGATCTTGAAGGTCAATTCAAGGTCAGATTGATTACACTGGACAACAAATTTTAGTTTTTTAATTGTATCTTGTGGGAAAAGTGCACTTCTTTGTTAATTTTGGGGCGCTGAATCCAAAAATGACAATGAAATAAAAAAATTAGTTGCGGTTTAGAAAAAAAACTTTTTATTTTTAAGGATATATTAAAAAAAGTAACAAGATTCATATACTTATAAGAATCACTATATGCGCTGTCTTTTTGCTATTCTTTTATGGATCGTTTCTGGAGCATCTCTACCAAGAGTCCAACAGTAGTCTGCAAGCATGGAAGGATTCCACTTTCCCTGGTACCTTTTTTCCATTGTTGAAATATCCTGATGAAAACGTTCGCCGTGCTCATCACTTACGGCTCCGCAATTATCAGGAAAAAAGTCCAGGTGTGAGTGTAGGAAATGTATCTTAAGAGACATATTACAGCCCATCTTTTGATACGATGACAGCATATTTTTGACAACGGTTTTATAGTTGTCAGCTTTTCTATTTCCCAAGAAATTAGTGACCACCAGACGGAAATCATTCCAAGCAGTTTTTTCAATACCTGTTAAAGTGTTTTCAAACTGTGTATCTTTCAAAATATTTCGAATCTGTGGCCCAACAAAAATACCTTCTTTAACCTTTGCCTCACTTAGTCTTGAAAATTTCTGACGCAGGTATTGAAAAGCTGACCCATCTCTATCTAATGCCTTGACAAAGTTTTTCATTAGGCCCAACTTGATATGCAGTGGTGGTAATAAATTTTTTTTCGAATCTACTAATGGCATATGCTGTACATTTTTTTGACCTGGCTCTAGGAATTGACGAACAGGCCAGTTTTGTCTGGTGACTGTCCCATTCACACAAAAACAGCAAAACTTTGTGTAGCCTAGCTGCAGCCCAAGTAAAAGTGCAACAACTTTCAAATCGCCACAAATATGCCATTAGTGCTCATTGTATTTTATGCATGTAAATAGGTACTTCATATTGTCATATGATTCTTTCATGTGAACTGCATACCCTACAGGAAGAGATGGTAAAATATTTCCAATATGCAATAACACTGCCTTTAAACTCAATGTTGAACTGTCTATAAACAATCTCCATTCTTCTGGGTATTATTATAGCCGTTAATGTTACTGCAGAAAACCAAGTTATTCTCCATATTGAAAAATGGTTCTAAGTCTTTGTGGCGTTTACGAAAAACACATACCGAAACATCGTCTTCTAACAAGTTCCACTGCTGCAGTCTTGATCCAAGTAACGCTGCCTTACATTTTGGAAGTTCTAAATCTCTTACAAGATCATTTAATTCTGACTGTGTTATTTTGTGCGGTTGGTGGCATGACGTGCTCGGTATAAAATCAGGATCTCTTGACGTTGATGGCATATCTTCTTCCTGACGAATCACTCGATCGCCATGATCTGATTCGTTTTCTGATTCGCAAGTGTAGGATTCTGGGGGTTTTGGAATAGGATTTTCGTCACTGTGAGGCACAGGTCTCATCGCTGGTATGTTTGGGTAGTTAATAACCGGTTTTTTTTTCTTGGACATACCTGTGGCTTGTCCAACACAAGGTACCAAGCAAAAGTAACAATCATTAATATGATTTGTAGGCTCTCTCCAAACCATTGGGACAGCAAAGCGCATAGACCGTTTTTTGCCATTTAACCAGCTCCTCAGACTTGAAGCAGATGTGGGGTGCCCACTGTTTGTCTTGATCACCTAGTTTACAACCGAAATAAAGCTGATATGCCTTTGTTATTAGTGGAGTAATAGACCGTCTCTGAGACGCAAAAGTCACATCAGCACACACGTAACAAAACTGATCTGGATTGTTTACACACTTTCGAGACATCTTGCATGAACGCTGTCAGCCAACTGAGGAAAAAATGGCTAATATAAAACAATATAATGTACACGTATGTATAACGTAACACAATCATGCCGATTACATCATCTTTCCTTGCCGAATATAAAAATGTAGCACGTGCATTCTTGTGAATTACAGAATATTAACACTGTCACAGCAGGAACACATATAATTACCGTATCTCTAAAACTTGAGCTAATATTGAAAAAATAAGTTTCATTCCGGTTTTAGCACATTAAAAATAGTAATATTTTGTTGATTTTATTTAAGATATTTTTTGGCTGTTGATCAGTATTATTTCACATGGAAACATTAAATTTTTATTCCAGCGCTGAAAACGGAGAAAAATTCATGTTCAAACGTTTAATTAACGGAGGTAACTTCACGCCTAGAGGTTATTTCAAGGGCAAATGATCTATTTTCGTGGATTGGACCTAAGCGATCTTTAAACATGAACTTCTCCATTTTCAGCGCTGAGCTCAAAATTGAGAGATTCCATGTGGACACATCAATGTGCCCTTGACTTGGCTTTCAAGGTCATAGTCACGATCCCAATGATGGTCACCAACAGATGTGCCGTTACGAATCCTGAAATTTTCGCCTTAAAAAGTCTTCTTCAAAATTCTTTTTTTTCCAGCTGTCCGCTGATTCACAACATTTTATGAAAGAAAAACAGTTGACCTTGAAACGACCTCTGGATGTGAATTAAGCCTCCACCGTTAAAAGGAGATTTTATTCAGTTTTTATTGCTACAATAAAAAGTGGAGGTTCCTATTTGCAAAAATCAACTTGCCCTTGAAATGACTTTTAAGGTTAATGTCAACGTCAAATCAATAGTCACCACTAGATGCGCCATTTAATTTCCTGAAACTTTTGCAATCAAAGTTTTTTTCTAGCACCCTTAGTTTCCGAGATATCTGGGTGTGTCGATACTTTTGAGACCCCCTTTATATGCCTGTTTGACCGATTTAATCCGTTTAATTTCTCTATTATACATGTTAACCGACTTTCTTGACTTGACGCCATTTTTCCTCATGATCTTCTGTTCTCTTCTTCGAAAATTTACTATAACAGTGCGGGCTGATTCAAGATATGACAGATGTTAGGATGAACTAGAGCGGTGTGTTTCGAACCCGGAACTTGCACCATTTTTATTGAAAGAAAACGCTATAAGTCCCATGAATACCCTGAAATTGTTAGAGTGAACAAAAATAACCATTTATTTTTGCTTCAGTTAACCTATAACCGGATTTTTATCAATAACCGCCCATTCCTAACTGTGATTATAAGGGACAATGCTGCACAAACGTAGTTATTTTGGAGACTTCAATAGGCGACTAGACGGGAAATCTTATATTTCTCATCCATATGCTAAATTTTCTGGAGAGTAAAGTCTTCGATAATAATCTAATGAAAAAACATTTAAGCTACATAGTTTTTAAAATCCGATATTTTTGCAGAGTACCTCAATTCTTCGTCTACCGCCCAGATCAACCAATCCTGATCAACCCTGGACAAGTCCCCGGAAATTTTCTGCCTCCTACCGGACCAGGGGTTCTTGGTGGTCCCGGATTGACCCCTGGAGTTGGGGGCAGGAATCCATTCTTCGTAGGAGGTGGAGGTCAGCCAGCTAGACCTAACTTTGTACCTCCTGTGGAGAAAGACGCCGAGGAGATACCGACTGATCCAAGCAAAATACCGCCATTTAACGGAGGAAAAGGCAGCGGACAAAGTGAGTACCAATAACGCAGTCATCTTGGATAAGAATTCGAAACAATGTAACATATTTGATAAACGGTTTTTTTTTTCGCTTTGAGCAACTTTTTTGAGAATGCAATGTTTAAATATTGGCTCAAAAATACTCAAAATAGTGAAAAGTTTTCTTCTTAGGATTTGCAATGAAAATCAAGGTACTATGGTAAAATTACTGACTCATCAAAGTCTCCAATTTCCAATATTTTTTCAAAAATTCCACCTCAAGTTGACGTTGATCATCCTAATGAATAACATGTTTGGAGTTCTTTTGACTGCATTTCGTGCCCTTTTGAGACTGGCTACCATTTTTGCTTACCATGTAAACGATAAGGTAGGTTTCATATTATCGATATTACGATTCGTTTTTTGAATGTATTTTTGTTCATATAATAATTTTAAATGTAGCGAGTAATTATGCTCATTTTTCAAGTTTGGTATCTCGAGTCATCTCCAGGAGACCTTGGGCACAGAGACTAAACATTAATATACGAGCCCCTTCCCACTTCAGTTGGCCCACTTCAAGATTTGTACCAAAATATGCCTTTATAAACTAAACATGACGAAACTACTTACTTCTAAAACAATTTATTTTCTCAAAAACATTTTAGATACACTCTAGTCGTAAAAAATACATATTTGAAATCACTTAGACCTATAACTAATAGAACATCTGAACAAATAAACAATGTGCGAATAAATGCGCGAAGTTAACAAAGCAACAATTGATAGATTACCATTGGGTAACATCACCTTTATTTTTTATTACGGCTGAAATTCTTTGGGGCATAGTGTTAACAAAGTTTTGGCAAAAATTTGGTGTAAAACAATCCCATATTTCTTGAAGCTTTTGTCTCAGTTCGGTGATTGTACGAGCAGGATGTTGTCGTAGAACCTTTTTCATCTCGTACCACAAAGTTTTCAATAGGTGACAGATCTGGACTGCTAGATACGCATTTCAAAAGTGGTACATTATTTTCTTCCATCCATTTTATAGCCTTTTTTAAGGTATGGCACGCTGCACCATCTTGCTGAAACACAAAATCTTGGCCGGATGTCAAACATTCTTCCATCACTGGTAAAAGCGATTCTTCTAAAATTGCCAAATATTTGTTTGTATCCACATTTCCATCAATAAAATGAAGTTTTCCTACTCTTTTTGATGACATACTGCCCCAGACCATAATGGATGCTGGAAATTTCACTTTTCTCTTCAGACAGTCAACATGGAATGCTTCATTTTTTTGCGAATAACTCTACTGTTGTATTGCACACCATTCTTGAGGTGTCCATTGTCTATCTTCTTTAGCCCATCTAAGCCGATTTTTCTTTTGCAGTGGAGTTAATAATGGCTTTTCTTTGGCCTATAAACAAGTTGTGCAATTTTAGGGTTTTTACTTCACTTTTTTATAAGAAAGCTTACCTTGCAAGTACTAAATCCCAGTTTGTGGGCCTCTCTATGAGTTGTGGACTTCGAAATTCTCCTTCCTACAGCGTCACTCCACAGAGCACTTAATTGTAAATAATTGGTACGCCTATTTTTCATGATCATTCTTCTTAATGCTCTTCGATCGACATTTGTGATATTACTTTTTTTCACATATCGTGGCTTAATATCAACTGAACCAGTTACGTTATATCTTCTAACAATATTTCTCACACTGTACCGCGATAAGTCTAACAAAGTTGCAATTTCTGAGTTTGATTTCCCAGAATTAAAAAATTTAATTATCAGTAACCGAATTTTCTCACTAATAACCTTTCCTCTCCCCATTTTGAAAACCTTAACTACCCAAAAGTATTTTATTTTAAACGTATTCTGACAGCTGTGATTAATAAAATCAATTGTCATGGCTTTTATTTTTCACAGGCACCTATGTGTTATAGACTTATTTTGCATTGAAATGAAAATAGGTTGATATGCTGTAATTGCAATTGCAACAATAGTTGGGCCAACTGAAGTGGGAAGGGGCTCGTAGATAGTTGTTTTAATTGAAACATAGCTTCAGTTTCAGGGATGTTTTTTCTGTAGATAAGTACTTATTCGTAAATAAAAGTGAAAAAATATATTTAGTGTATGTAACAAACGTTATTAAAGATCTGAAACTTAGTACAAGAAGTTTTTTGAATTTTTAATAAAATTTGTTGTAAAAATAAATAAATTGTACCCTACTTGCCTCCTTTATTCACTTCCTATGCCTAAGGTCTCTTATTGGGGAACATATATTATTTTATATGCAGGATGTTCATTTGAAAACCGCGGATTTATTGAAAAATACTGATTAAAAGAAACAACGCCGAGACAGGTCAAAAGATTTGTCAAGGGGGACAACTTTTTAACCAAAAACTACTTCACCCCCTTTCACCCTCTGCCCCCCAGGGTAATCCCCTTAGAAATTTTAAATGACAAGGAGCATTGAAAAATAGCTTGTTTGAAAGGTCTTTCGAAGTCCTTTATTTTGATGTTTGTTTTTTAAAATCGGTCGATTTGTTTTCAAGAGAATTAGAAAAATCCTTATTCATCTTAAGTTGTTCAAATAGAAAACAAAAACAAACGAAAATATCACTTTTTATTTCAATAAGTGTTCAAAAAGTTTCCCGTTATTGGCCAATGATTTAGGCGATGTTTAAATTCCTGACGCAATTTACTATTCAATGACATTGTGCCCATATTCGATTCAACGCTGAATAAACTACGCCACTGTTTTTGCAATATGTGCAATAACGTCGGATGACACTGTCCGTTTTTGTCGGAATATAGCGTGAAAACATCAAAATGAATAAGGTGTAGACATGCATCATACTTTTGTTGCAAAATATCCACTTGCTGTGGTGATTGTCGGGTAAATAACATGTAATTTTAGATGATTCCAATGCGGACTTTCTCTATAAATGTTGCACATATCTAAACAGGACAATCCAAACCATCGAAAACGATTATATCTATATAATCAAGGCGTGTGTGGTATCAATAAGCTATTTACAAACTTTTATTAAAGGTTTATTCTAGCATAAGTACCTAGCAGCTTTAGTCACGGAACCTGTCTCAACGTTTTTTAAAATTACGGTTATCAATACATCAATCGTATCAGAATCTTTTTTGATTTTTACGAATAGCAGAACCCCAAAACGAAACCTTATCAAGAATGCTCTGGGCATAAAAATTAGCTCCTTTGCCAAGTTTTTCGATGTTTTCTGAGCATTTATGTAATTAAGTGATGATACAAATATAATTACACTTTCATATTGTCACCATCAAAATAAATTCTTTCTGAATCCATACAGTGCTGGAGACGGTTCTTCCACTCCTCATAGTTGTACAAGGTAAGTTCTATTGAGGAGATTTTTCAACTTCGGAAAGAGAAAAAATCACAAGGACTCAAATCAGGCGAATAAGGAGACTGAGGAGCCACATGAATGTTTTAACTGGCCAAAAACTCGTTTATTGACATTGCTGTGTGACAAGGAGCAGTATCGTAATGCAACACCTAGTTGCTCTTGATCTGATTAACGGTGGTGTGTGTCAAATTTAGCTCTACCCGATCATTCTGACTGTCAACAAAATGACTCGTGCGAGTTCAAAATTGTATTGAAGGCGGATCACATGTTCCCTGTCTTCCCTGCAGTGTCGCCAGATGGAACGCTACGTTGCCAGTGATGACAATTTACAGACCTCCTACGCCTCGTACTTTACTTGTCGCTAATGCCGTGTAGCTATACTATAACTATCTAAAACTGTAATGACTCATCGATGTTCACGTGAACATCACTTCACTACCAGTAGTCGGCTGTTCATAGGCGGGGTATGAATGTTTAACATGGGTGAACTAGATTTGTCACATGCTTAATAAAGAGTGGTTTGAAACATATTGTAAGTCAAAAATTTGGGAATTACCTTTATTCATCGTCGCTTCCACTTACGTCTGACAGTAATAAACTGTCGCTATCGCTTTCCTCGTTGAAATTGACTATAACTGGCTCTATGATGGTGTCGATGTGGTGGTCAAGCTGCCACATTTTTGTTTCTTCCTTCACAACATGACGGATAGCATTCTGCCAAGCTTCGGGCGTTACTAGCTGTATGGAAGTCTCAAGTAAAACCTTAACGTCTGGTAATTTGAAGGTTGTGTTATGGCGCGCAATATAACCCTTCACTTGAGCCCAGATGAGCTCTATTGGGTTCAGTTCACAGTGGTAGGGCGGTAACCGCAGCACAGTGACACCACATTGACGGGCCATCTCATCAGTCACGTAACTAATGTTCGCAGGTTTGTGCTGTTTAATTTTTTCATACAATTCCGCTTTCACACATGAATCGTCAAACGGGATTCCTTTTTCGCGCAACCATTGCTGCATGTCACTTTTTCGAGATCCCATAGTCGGTACACGTTCGGCTCGACGACTATGGTAGGAAGCATTATCCATGACGATCACAGAGTTGGGCTCAACTCGCTGAAGCACCCCTTGAAACCAGCTCTCGAAGCAGCTGGTATTCATTTCGTCATGGTAATCACCTCCTTTCTTAGAGACGAAAATCAAGTCACACTCTTCTAAAAAGCCACTATCGCTACCAATATAAGTTACGATCAATCTTTGACCTTTCCCTGACTGTCCACCAAGACCTGTTGACAAACCTTCAATGCATGCTTGTCGGTTACTCACTACGTTTTTGTCTATCCAGGTTTTTTTAACTGTGTGACCTGCATTTACCTATGTCTCGTCCAAATAATAGATTTTTCTGCTTTGTCGCCTATATTCAATCATTTCGCGTAGGTATTTTCGACGCCAGGCGACTATTTCAGGTCTCTCTATCAATACTGATTTCCGATTACGCGTTTCGTAACGAAAATTAATTTCGTGCAGGGATTTCCTCATTACCTCGACGCTCATTTGGGGTATAATTTCATTTTCCTTGATCGCTGCATGTACAGCCTTGAGGGTTGGTATCTCATTCCTAAAGAAGAATGAATGTACGGTTCG